TGACCTCAGCAGTGTGAAGACAGAATAACTTCCCAAATGCATGGGATGTGAGACAGTCAGATTGCTCATCTGTTGATATAACAGAAACAAAAGCATACAAGATCCTTGTTAAAGTTTTGTTAGAATACAAGTTTGATTAAGTTTAGGGTACATACTGTTCAACAGCTCTTCTGTCTTCTAAGTTGGGGTTCATTGCTTTAATCAATAATAAGGATAGTAAATTGCATGGAAATTTAAACAGGACTTAGAAGAGGGGAGATCTGAACTTCTGGTCTCCTCTTTCTCATATCAAGGAACCTTCTCCTAGACTACAGGGCTATTTGGATCAATCTTTCTCCATCATTAGCATTTGTGTAGACTTCTCATTAAATCATATTTGGTGGGTTTAGCTTGGAGCACATATTTTCTGTTGTGGTTAAAATGCTATACAGGCACACACTAATAGATAACTGATATTCTAAGAATTGGCACATGAGAAGCCACAACATGGACAGAGGAAAGGTCCCAGATGTTAAGATTTCTTGCAAAAGGAGTACAAAGGAAAGTGATACAATCCAATAGGGACAAAAACCAAAGAGTAATTCTTTCACATTTTAAAAATTATTTCCAAGAGAAATTAAATTGTACTCTAAATCTATATTCTATGCTTTAGTTTTTGCCATTTCTATGAGATTTTTACAAAATAAAGGGTTAATGCTCCTGTTAAAATGGTACTTTAATACAACCTTAACTATGGCACAGCTACTGCTGCACCATCATACAAAACAAAAATCACATACAGTAGCTCAATTCACCTAATGCTTTGTAGACTTTGGAAGAAAGAATTTACAACATAAAATATCAAACTCAGGTAATTTTTAGAAATACATCCACAATAATCACCTCTATCCAGCTTTTAGTTGCTGCTGAAGAAAGAAAAAAAAGTAAACACCATTCCTGAACTTTTATGAAAGCACAACTATGTTGCAGGTTCAGTATATTTAAATATAATATATTATATCGTTTCTAAAAATTTCCAGAAAAATTTTCCAAAAAAGCAGATACCTCAAAAGTTAATGTAACATCGTGCAGTCATAGCATTACCGATATGGCAAATTATCTACATCAATGGCTTTTTTAGGACTACAAAAAAACCAAAAGGTTACTAACCTTCCATAACTGTTGTTCTTTGGCCATTCCACTCCTGGTGGTGTGTGCACACCTCTCAAAAAGTCATCAGAAATTTCCCCCCTCAGTGGTACCCCTCAGGGTGGCTTGAGTACCCTTTGTTGCCGCACACCATTGCATGCTGGTATAAAGGGCTCAGCCATCCCCAAGCCTCCTCAGTTTCTTCTTGCTGGACAACTCCAATGCAGAGGGATAGGAGGGCGGGTTGTGGAATGGACATGTACATCACATTTTGAAGAACAGTTACAGAAGGTTAATAACCATTTTTCTTCTTCGCGTGATTGCACATGTGCATTCCACTTTTGGTGAGTCACAAGCGGTACAGTAGAAGGAGGCATCTGAGTTCATGTACACAGACTGGTGTAAAACTTGTCCAAATTTAGCATCATCTCTAGAGTACTGAGTGATGGCAATAACAGGACGCAAAGGTGTGGACTGAAGATCAAGTCACCATTCTACAAATTACCTGGATAGGAACTTGTGCAAAGAATGCCATGGAGAACCCTTGCAATCTTGTGGAATGTACCATCACTTTGCTCAGCAGGGAAATGCCTGCCAAACTGTAACATACATGAATGTAAGAAGTTATCCAAGAAAATTCTTTGTGAAGAGATTGGGAGGTCCTTCATTCTGTCTGCAATGGCCACAAATAGTTGAGTTGACAAACTGAACTGTTTAGTCCTGTCCTAAAATACCAAAGCTCTCCTAACATCTAAGAGTGGAGGTGTTGCTTCTCTCTATTGGCATGTGGTTTTGTGTAAAATGTAGGTTAGTAAACTAACAGGTCTCTATGAAAATGAAACTCTAGAGAGAAATCTCAGATGAGGGTGCAAGTATATTTTGTCCTTAAAGAAGATTATATAAGGTGGTTTAGATATCCGAGCACGAAGTTCAGCCATCCTCCAGGCTGAAGTGATAGCTACTAAGAAAGCCACCTTCAGTGAGCTGGACTCAAAGGTACCTGCCTTGGTGCCGGAGTCAAGGGGGCTGGCTTCTGCAGAGAAAAGGACTGCTTGGTTTTGGCTGCACTTTACTTATTCCCATGCCTAGAGGACTTCAGTGCTGGAGACCTTCCTCTCTTGACAGTCTGCTTATTGGGGAAGGTACATGATACTGAATCTCAGGCAACATAGGAGGCACACCCCAATCGATGCTGAGGCACTAGGAGCTGAGTTTGAATGGCCAGGCTCTGACAGAGGTCTCAGGAACACTTTCTTGAGCAAAAACTTTAACCTGGCTTCTGTGTCTTTCCTGTCCTAGGCTTAAAGTATTTACAAATCTGATAACAATTCTGAGTATGGGCTATCCCTAAACATTTTAAGAAGCTTGAATGTGAATCACTCATTGTCATTGGCCTAGTGCAAAAGATACAGGGTTTGAAGCCCGGTGACCAAGGCATCCCTTGGTGCCAAGAAGTGGAAAACCCCCAAACTGGGTACTGAGAAAGAAACTTATCCTATCTACACTATTAACTAAGTATTAATCAACTAGTAAACTATCTACAACTAATTTACAACAAGCACACTCAGAGCACTAAGCAATTCCAACTACTGTCACATGGCAGAAAGAGGAAGCTGTGGGATCTTGTAGGTGGCTGGGCCATTTATACCAGCACGCAGTGGCACACGGCAACAGAGGGCACCTGAGCCATCCCAGTGGATAGCACTGAGGGAAAAATTTCTTACAACTGTAAGTGGAGTGCGTGCACAAACCACCAAGAAAGGAATGCACATGCACAGTTACTTGAAGAATGGTGATACTCTTTTTATGATAAACATTCAGACCAGATCTTCAGATGGTCTTTTAATTTTATATTAGAACACTGAAAGCAATTCTAACTTTAATTTCTGATGTCACATTCTCAAACTACTCATGACTATCAGCTGACTTTCTTTTTAGAAACTTATTACACATTTAAATATTTATTATACTTAAATCATACTGCAAACACATACACTATGCTATAGATCGTACATATTTATTAGAAAATGGTATATTATTGATGGAATGCTGTAATATAGTATATCTCATGTAACATCTGCTTTTTCCTACAACCTTAGCTATAACTATAGCACTTTGTAATTTTTGTGCATTCTTTTCTGTATTCACTAATTCAGTCGACATTGTCATTCTGAATATATTGGACTTTTTTATTCTATAGTTTCCCTTATCTCTATTTCTTCTAAAAAGAATGTTGTTAGCACAAGGATACCATATATTTTCTTTTTAACCCATCAACACCATTTTCTTTAGATTTAGTTTCGGAAGAAGACAGTTATTTACAAAGTTGCTTTAGATGCAAATTAAATGTTTGCTGCACATGCCAGAAAATGTTCACTATTCTTCTAAACTATGCCTAATCTGAACTATGTTTTAATGTATACTCTCACATAAGTGATTTCGTAGATTGTTTGTCTGGCATACACAGGGCAATACACAGTAATACAAGATGCTACTGATTCTGTAATAAATATATTTGAGACCTAATTCAAAGTCCACTGAAGTCCGTAAGAATCTTTCCATTTACTGCAAATAGGCCTTGGATCCCTTATACTCTCTGAGTACAGGTAGGTACTAGGGTTTTAGCCTTATGCCTCAACTCAAGAGCCATGTATGGCTTGTGTGTCCCCTTCAAGTCATTGCTCATCTTGAGCTAAGTAATTATGCATTTTGTTGTTAACTGCATTGTACTCGACAATGTTGATGTTATTATGCCAGTACACTATCTTAAATTTCATATTTTACATGCAAATCTTACCCCACCACTGATTTTCCAGTTTCATCAGGTTTCCGCACTGTAAATGGACTTGGATCAATTCCAACATTCTTGGGCATGAAATCTCTGAAAGAGGGGAGGAAATCAGCCATAAAATAAAGCTCAACATGTGAAATATGCTTCTGAAATTATATTTTGTCAGGTTTTGTTGAAAATTCTTCACATCTACAAGTCTGAACGTCCTGTAACATTTAGTTCTGAATTTAAAAATTGTTGTCATGAATTAAAAAGGATTGTCTAGGTTAAACTTTGATTACAGGTCACAAACTGTCATGTAAAAATTAAAATCCAAAGAGATTTAAGAAGCCTTCAGTTGTACCACGCAGACTCACAAAACATGACTATGCACAGAGTTGTCACTTGTGAAGTAGGGTTGGGCTAATGGTGACCCAACAATGTTATTTTCATGATGGTGTTCATGACTCTCAGATTACTTCAAATGGCCATTTTAGATATCATTCCCACAAAAGCCATTAGCCAAAGCATGCATGCTAAAAATATTTTTTAAAATACTCAGTTGGCATGATCCAAGGTGTTATGGCTGCCAGCCGGAAAACACTCTAGCTGATTGTTTTAATCAACTCCAAGCGCCCATGATCTTGAGATAAAAACAGAACATATCTGAACAGAGACATAATTTTTCTCCTAATTTAGAATTAGGATGGGCTTGTCTATATGGCGCTGCAGTTCAGACTATGAGTGTGTGACTTGCAGAGCACTCTAACATGCTGCATTCTACAGGCCCCACATAAACATTGCTGGCATGCACAAAAGGTACCTAGTTCATGTTAACGTAGTCCTGTTTTAAATGGGACTAACTCAAAATGAACTAGGTACCTTTTAGTTCGCACCAGCAGAATCTAGGTGTCTACATGAGGCTGTTAGAGAGCAACAGGTTAGAACAGTCTATAATTCACACCCTGTAGTCTGGACTATGGCACTGTGTAGACAAAACTGCATGAATCCAAATAAAGTAGTCTACATTACCTAAAAAATGTCCTCTTTCCAGCTGAATAAAGCTCTAAACCAGAAATTCTCAACTGGGGTGGCACATCAAATTTTTGGGATAGGAGGGCAGTGAACCTTCTAATAATTCAGTAATTATAGTTAAAGTGTGGGGGCCAAGTGCCAGGCTGCAATGCCACTCACTTAAATCTGGCTCAGCCACCCTCCATCACTAGATAGAGGGGCAGCCGGTCCAAATTTGAGCGGTGTTGTGACCTGCGTGTCAGGTTGCAATGCCACTTACTCAGATGTCTCACTGACTAACATCAGCAGCACTAATACAGGTAAGGTGTGTTTTTACACTACCATTTGATTTGTATTTTGAGTAATCTGCCTGGTATCTCCTGTACAAATGCATTAGCAACACTACATAACAGTATCCTTCCCACTATTGTAAAGGGATGGTGATGACTCCAAGTAAAAACAAATACTAAAGTGGGGCAAGATTCAAAAAGACTAAGAACCCCTGCACTAAAGTAAGTTTCAGGTTATGTATTAGAATTGTGAAATCTAAATTATTTTGTTTATAACACCACAAAACATACCGTATAGAATTGGTCATTGCCAAGCAAAAGGTGTCATCAAAACTGCTTAATTCATATGGCCGAAAGAACTCGTTGTGAATATCAATCTCTTCTTCATATTTGTGAAATTTCTTCACTATCAACTTCCTTCTGTTTTCAGTGCATGTCACTGAAAAAAAGACAATATATTCTATTGCTAATCATTAGCACATTTGGAAAAAAATCTATTTGCATATTCCTGTAATAATTTAACCAGATACACTTCCATATG